CTTAATAAAGACACGGGAGATGCCCGAAATTCTCCCGACGTTCCATCGCAGCAGGAACCCCCACGTTCCTTCGAATTGCAAACGGATAACACGTTAGTTCGTTCGCTCGCCGTAGGGCTGCGTGAGGGAACGCGAGTGCTCGCGCGCGCGCAAGGCCTGACGCTCGGTTAGCTTTCTCTCCGGCAACGTGCACAGTGGAAATAGGCGGTTGAGGGGTCGTCGCTGGAGAATTCGGAGAAAAACAAGTAATTCACCGTGGCCGACAGAAAAGCCGTGACTATGAAATACGCGGTTAATCTCGCGATTAAAGTTTAAAATTTCATTCCCGCGCGAACCATACGTTTAATGCCCGAGTCCGTGCTACCTCTTCCGATGGCAAACGTTCTTCCGCGAGAAAGTGGACCTTACTTCAGTGGATTCGCTAATTGGCCGCGATGAAATTTTTATCCGACAGCACGCGACCCGCTTAATGGCCGTCGCAGCGCCACCATCGCGTGCCAGTAAACGCATCTAGCGCGATCGCGTAATCCCTGGTTCACCGTTTCTTTCCTTCCCCGGACAAACAAACGTGCGCACGAGTTGGTCGTACCGGTCGTAAAGAGATTTCGAAGTGTGCTCTCTGTGCTCTCGGCTAGTCTGCTGGCCCAACGGGGTGGCCCAGCACCGCCGCTAACAGTGATTGGAGTGTACGCGTGAGTATCAGTGCCAAACACTGGTAGTTATGTATATTAGGGTGGCAGTAAAACTGATGTAAATTTATTTCGAAATCCCGCGTCGCTCTCGTAAACTTGTTTTAAAACTACCCTCGTAAAACGATTTCAGACCTTTTCTACGCTCGGTGGAGACTCGTTCGCGGTGAGACTTTACCGCCAATGCCTAACACCTCTTAAGTAATTCCACGTCTTACCATTAAGGTAACGAGTTCGATCGCGAGAACGTGCTCTAGCGTGGATCGTTCGATGCCAACGTTATATTTCTCGCTCGAGCTTTCAACCCGGAGGGTACCGATATCTTATAATACCACGATGTAACGCGAAGCTATAGATTTCCTGTGCTCTACGAAAAAAAAAAGAAAAAGCTAGACACCCTAGCAGACTATTCCATCCTGCACCCTTCTTTTTCCACGATATTACCCTTTGTACCCTTATTTATTAACGAAATCGACCACAGATAAGAACCGGCCTGGCGATGCTAGCTCTCCGAACCCCGTAGTTCGTTTTTCTCCAGGCTGAGGTCGTGGTAGATCGATTATCAAGGCGAAACCGGAGCGAAGGTGGAGGTTTTCCACCATACGTGTTGGAGTAGGCCGATGTTCGGGGTTGGGTAGGTAGGAATCGAAGGGGAACGAAAATTTAAGGGCAGCCGTATATTATCGCGACGAAGGGGTTGTCTGAGGTTAACTGCCAGAGCTTGGCCAGGGGTGTGGGGTCGGGTAGTGTTGAGGGGAGCTAGAGAGGCGAGGCTGTGCCATGAATATGCCGCCATTAGTCACACGCCGAACTGCACCGTAGAAAGAGAAGTAGGTGACACGAATTTCCCGGCATTGCGCGCCCTATTGGTATCCCAAGGGTGCCGCGGCAGTAACGCGAACAATTCCTCGTGAATGCGCATTTATCTCAACCGACCCCCCACCACGTCCACAACGTCGTCTCTTGCTTCGCGATACCCGAAAGGCTGATAGAACTCCGCCAACTAGCGAGGAAAAGGCAACGTGTATATCGATTTTCGTGTCGGAAAAAATTTCCCGCGGTATCACTCACAGCGTCAGCCATATTGGGCTCGTGCCGCGGCCAGCTGGGCTACTATCGAAACATTCGGGTACCCGGTGACGTCGCTGTCATGGACAGGCCTCGTTACATCTCGAAAGGCAGCGATGAAACGGTTAACTAAATTGCTACACACTAACTGTCACTCGCAGAGCCTCCGTCCCACTCCTGTGCCCCAGGCTGACCCTCTTGGGGCAGCGAGCCTCTGCGTTCCGACGCCATTGTTTCCACGGAAAAAGTAATGGTGTTAACCCTCTGGGCAGTATGAGAGCAGTATACGATTAAAATTCTATTTAGGAACATTGGATTTTTAGTTCATGGCGTTTGGTGGTCGTTGAGCCTTGAAACCGCTTTGACAGCCTAGACAGGGTCATAGGGAAAATACCATAGGGCCGAACGTGTAGCTCAGATGGAACGTTTGGTTACTAGATGCTTCAAGTACCTCACGTGTGGAGCCATCATTTACTTCGTCTTCCAGAAAATTCTTTCTAACTTTTACCCTTACATTTCAAATTCGACGACTCCCTCCAGTTCCACTAACTTGCAAAATACTCAGCCTCGCCTTAGTTCTTTACGTACTCTGGAGTTTCGAGAATTCTCGAAAGGAGATGGCAGACACTAACAAGTCAACTTTCGTGGAACAGACGTAGAATCAAATCTACTTTCGAAGACTATGCACACTCCTTCATCATCAAGACGTTATCTATCATACATGACACAAAAGACATACAGGACATTAAATACTCGAAGAAACACATAATTTCCGCTTAGAACCGTCCATCACTAATCTTCGTCAATTAAGACCGACCTAGTGACGACATACGATAATATTTGACGAGTGCAGTCTAAAAATATAGGCTGACTGGCTCGCTAGTGGACTCTACCAGTAATGGGTGCACATATGAAAGGTAAATTTTTGATTGCATGATGATCGTATGAAATAATTCGAATTAAAACGTTTACGTGGAAGAAACATTCGAATGACAGAGTTTTTGGATAATTCTAATGAATTTTGGTTTAGGTTATTATTGTCCCAAAATTCACGCAAGAAATAATTTTGGTAGAAAGCACAGATTTTTAATTAAAAATTGTAAATGTTGTTTAACAATGAAAACGCGTCGTTCTTTCATCTAGCGTTCCATTTTTAATAACTCTGAACTGTCAGCTGTCACGTTGTCCTTCTTTTTAGTTGACAACACTTTACCGCACAAATGGCGCGAAATTCAAATCTTGCGTGAATTTTAGAACACCCTATTATGTAAAAATTTAATATAATATTAGAATTTTATTGAGAGTGCTTAGTTTTCAGCTAAATTTGTGTTTTGTATGCATGATAGTGGATAAAGGAAAATTAATATGACAATGTCAGATGAATCAGGTCCTATATATAGGTCCTGGAATAATTAATATTTCGATTTTTAACCAGTGGGTCGCAGTCCTCAAGGAGCAGGTATTTTTAGGGTTTCAAAGCAGGTTTTTGACTGTGAAGCATTGTTAAAATGTTAAAGATTATGCTCCTAAACGATTATTTTATTTTTCAAGGATTTTCTACGTGATCTGATAAGTTTATGTTACTTTACACGATAGAGGGTTAGAGTAAGGGTGTGCAGATTATTTGACTATCATTAAAGGTGGTTGAAACTCAAGAGAAATTGAGAAGTGCTGGTCTAGTACCTAATAATTAGCCACAGGTACAAATGTAAATTCTTTATGACAGAATCATTCCCATTTTCACTTATACACACGTATTATGCTGCAATAAACGCTTTGTGCCCAAAATTTGCAAATCGAAAAATAATAATAGATTAAAAAAAATGTAAAATATTGGAATCTACAAAGTGAGGAAAATTCTTACAATAAATAGATTTAAAAAAATCTTATACTATACAATTACAAATATAGGAAATGAGATAATTATATTAAATAATAAATTTAAAAAAATATAATTAATGATGAAAGTCACACGATACCTTTTCGAAATTTAAATTATTTATACAATCCTTAAATTAAATTATTTATTTGCTCTAATAAGTAGCAGTATTATGTCAAATATCGCAATATTCGTTTAGAAATGTTTGATTCTATGATACACTGGAATGTTCAATTTCCATAAGTTACTTTATACAAAATCCCTTTTTACCTATGTATCAACAATTTTTCCAATATCTAAAGTAATATAGCAAAAGGGTTAATCAATTTGTGGTTATAGAATATTAATAAATACACAAGTGATCTACGATTGAATATTTTAAATAACTTGTTTCTGGAAACTTATTTTATATTTCATGTATGTACAAATAGAAAATGTGTGGTAGAAAAATTCTTTACAATATATAAATCCGAAAATATCTGGATAAAAGACTGTATAAATATTTCGTGACGGGAGAAATAAATTATCTTACTCGAATAAAGATTTTAGTACACGACAAGATGATGGCAGATCTTATAATAATCAATGTTTTGTGAGATTAATACAATGGTATGCAAATTTTAAATACAAATTCATATAAATTACCGATTTCATAATTATACGCAATAATTACAACTTACATTTTTCACTAAAAATTTACTCAGGGTTTGTCAAGTATAAAAAGAACATAAAGGTATAAAAAGAAGCACAAGTATAAAAATAAAGAAAAAGGACAGATCAAAAATTTCTCTGTTTCAAAATAGAAAGATGCTTATATATGTATATATTTTTGTAAATTCAAGTAAATTCAAATTTGATCACAAAATTCTCTATCGTATTAATTTTACAAGATAGATAAATCGAAATTTTCAATTTCCCCTATATTTAAGTAAATATTTCGAAGATATTAATTTTTTCCCAGTACTTTCGTCAACTGTCTCATATAAAACTAACTTTTATTTATATTATAAAATCAAATTTTGATATATAATCATACTTATCTTCTTTTTTTTTTCTGAAACATACTACTTTGAAATTAGTGATAACCACCCTTCATAAAATCAAACTGCTATTTATAATTGTATAATTTTTTCTACTAAAATTTTAAATTAAGTACTATCTTTCATTGTAAAATGAAATTATATAATGATATAATTTCCTTTTCTCTTTTTCTTTGCTTTTTTTGCCTTGTTGAATTTAGTGTAGTCATTTTTTCGTAAAATAAAATTCATATTTGCAATCATAATTTTTTCCAAAAAGAAGTATCTCACTTTGACGTTATTCAAGAAACATTGAAAATCATAGAGGCAATATTATTTTGTCGCATACTGTATCTCCTATCATACATTAAATTATGTCATACTGTAAAAATCGTAGCATTGCTTTAAGGAGCTGTTAAAGCAAATTTGCTTGGGACGATACGATTTATCTGATTCATATCAGGTGCCAGAAGTTAACATCGGGAGCTCTGTGCCTGAAGCCAGAAGGTTGACAGTTTGTGCCCTTGATTATGTCATCGACTCTCCCTCTGATTATACGGAAGTTCGTTTCGGTAGGTTTCAGGGTCATATTTATCGTCTTCTGAAGCCTGTTCGTGTTGAACCACAACTCTTCTACACTGTGCTTGTTTGTAATTACTTTAATGCCACTCACGTACTGCAATGTCTGCTCGTCTTGAGCAATTATCACGACGTTTTCCGGTGTAAACGGTTTCTCAATGTTCCAACAAGCGATCGCCGTTAATTGGACTAATTGGAAAAATATTACGCCTCTTCGCGACGTTGCTTGAACACCTGCTTGGCTTGCTCGTTTATAATTCGATTCGAACACTATTGGCTCCTTGTATTCGCTTTGCTTTAAAGAGTTCGTATCCGTAAACTTTTGTCGAAAACTCGCCAACGAATTGAAATAGAGGTACCTGGAAATTATATATCTTGTAACTGACTTTTCAGGCATAAAGGACGAATAATAATTTCTGACAAATTTTCCTTTTTTTCCTTTTTTTTAAGACGAATTTCATTTAAATTAGAATAAGGTTTCTGGATTATTTGAGTTTAAAAAACTTGTGGAATTATTGAAATTCTTGGAATATTTAAAATTGGGTATATATTCAAGAATCATTCTTGGAATGTTCTATATCTTGTTTTGCTTGGAATCCTTATGATTTTTGAAATAATTAAATTTCGTGTATTTGTGGAATTGTTTAAATTTTAATTTTGGGAATATTTAAAATTGGGTATATATTCAAAAATCATTCTTGGAACGTTTCAGATTTTATTTTCCTTGGAGTTGTTATGACTTTTTGAATTCCTAATTTTCGTATATTTGTGGAATTATTGAAATTTTGGAATATTCGAAATTGGATATATATTTAAAAATCATTCTTGGAATATTTTAGATTTTGTTTTGCTTGGAATTGTTACGAGTCTTGAAATATTTAAATTTCAATAAATATGTATTTGTGGGATTTTAAAAATTTCTTTAATATTTAAAATTTGGAATATTCTGGGAATTGATCAAATTTCTAGCATAATTAAAATTTGGAATAGTCTAGGAATTGCTCAAATTTATAGGATATTTAAAATTTGGAATATTCTGGGAATTGCTCAAATTTATAGGATATTTAAAATTTAGTAAATTTTTGAAGTTAAAAACATTTTTGGAATACTTGAAATTATTACACTATTGGAAGATTTAAATTTTAGTATATCCTTGGTATTATTATAATATAATAACTGAAATACCTGAAGTTAGTACATTCTTGGAATCACAAAATTTTTTGGAATATCCAAAATTTTCTATATTTGGTACATTATCAAAATTCCTTAAATATTTAAAATTGTTCCATTGTGGAAGTGATATCAATTTCTGTAATATTATACCCAAGGGTAGTAGTATACCAGGTATCCTAATTAACCCCAAATAATTAATTCCATTTAACTGATAGAGACACGATCGTTCGAATAAGGGAATTTTAGCTTCTAACAGAATACTCGTTTTCCCTCAAAATTTCACCGTGCTTATCTTCCATCTCGGATTTTCCACTATGTCAACCAAATAATTACAAACTTAAATAATTTCAAAAACGAAAGTAATCTAAAGTTCCATTCGAATAAATTCTACGATAGAAAATTTATGGTATATTTAATTGTACTTACAGGAGATTATGCACGATTTAAATAAAATATTTTTATGCTATCAGAAAATGCAAAAATACCTGTCATTGAACAATCCAATGGGTGACAATGACATGCCAAGAGTGCCATCGGTTAAATCGAACGATTCGCCAGCGATCGTGATGTTCATGGCATCGTCATCCGGGCCGAAAGCATTGCCAACAGTGTTGTTCACTCGCCACGAATAATCGTGATATAAGTCATAAATCAGCAGGCCATTTTGATCCACATCCGCCACGTAGAGATAAGTATCGAGACACGTTTTTCCGACATCGACGATTGGCGTAACTAATGCCGCCTTCCCGTACAGTACTTGATCACTCGGGAACACGTATTTATGGACCAGCTGATCGGTTGCGAGATCGAAGATCAATAATTTCGTGGGACAGGCCGAGTTCCCCTGGACGCGACCGGTATCCACAACCCATAAACGATTGCACTCGTCTATCTAGACAGTCCATTTTGTCATCAAGCTTAATATAATCTCCAACCACCTTCACCCACTTAACTCTAAACCCACCAAAAATTTATATACAGGGTGGTCCATGAATCACGAAGATTCTCCAACCCAAACCAAAACCAAAATTAGGCTAAGATTAATGACTTAGAAAGAAATTGATAATAACCCTTTGCACTCCGAGCAATTTTTAACCCTCTGCGCTCCAAGCAATTTTTAACCCTTTGCACTCGACGACTTTTGGCTAGAGAAGGGTAAAAATTCAAAGATTCTCTACTAAAAAACTGACGAAATCTTTTTGAGCAGTAAATAAAGAATTGTATAATAATAGAATTGCAGAATTATTTGATTTCGATACCTCGCACACTGTTATATTGCACTAAATTTGATATATTAATTAATATCGATTTTCCAAATTTTATGAAATGGTTTTTCTGGCTTTCCAAATTGTATGAATGGTGAAAAAATGGACTGAAGCTCACCTTTCGAGTACAAAGGGTTAATATGGCTTACCGAAAATTTCGTAGAAAATTATTTATACAATGTAACAAAAATGACAATTCTAAAATACTAAAAAATATTTGATTTAAATTTTTAAAAATTCAATTGAAGTTTTAGATGTCACCACTGAAGCGACAAAAGAGCTATTAGCTTATCTAACAATATCGTCACAGCGAAGTGTAAAGGGTTAGGAATAACAGAATTATATTAAAGGCTCCATTTTTGGGAGAAATGCAATTGGAAATTAATAGAACAGGCATATACTTCATTAATATAATAATCACTTATTGATCATGCATGTATTAACACGATTTTGTGTGAAATTTTCTCTTAATTTACTCTATACTACTATAGCATAGTATTATTATAGTACTATTATACTGACTAATATAATCACAGGTTTTGTGTAAAATAATTTATTATTGGCGTAATATAAGTGCAATAAATTGAAAAAAGAGAAACTGGAAAAATTCACACGTGTGTTATTCGATTCCTGGTAAGAATATTTTAAGACACGAATGTGAATCATCTAGTGTAATTAATTTCATGATTAATCCAATTGTTAGTGGCAAACATAGTTATAATCATATTGATGTACAGTAGGTTCGAAGGATATAGTGTGTACGTAATAGCGCACTAATTGTAAGCGGCAATCATGATGGATGAAATGACATTGTAGGTGACGATACTATGTATAATCTACAAATGCTGGTATGAGAAACTTAATTAGTGCTTAGGTATACAAGACGATAATTAGTTGTTAATATGTAAGTATTGCAGTATTATGGTTCACATTATTCCATAGAATGTGTTCAAATATATTCTCTACTTTTGTATTTTATCTGCAGATATATGTGATATTAACTAAAGATTACTAATTTACTTGATTATGTGATTAAAAGTAAAGATTATGTTATTGTCTATCATTTAAAGTCTGCATTTCTCAAAATTTAAAAGAGGTGTGCTAAGTAAAGGAATTTAAAAATAGAGGCTTGATAAATTTAATAAATTCAAATCAGAAATCTCAAATGTCAATTTAATGAAATATAATTAATTGTAAAAAGGAAAAAAATCGTTGTACTGACTCGATTTATAAATTTTAATATTTTTAATAGAGTTTTGATATAAACGTATTCATATCTTTATTCGAAAATTCGTAAAATATGAAACATGAACAACAATCTTTTGAGATAATAAAAATTAATTTAGAATTAAAAAAAATTGTGAAATAAAATTTATTTTTAATAACGATATTGTTAAATTTCAATATAGCTTGAAGAGGTATCTGAAAAATAAACTGCGAAATAAAAATTTATAAAAGAACGTTAACTATCCTCAGGAACTTTCCCTAGTAAAAGTTTCAGAGTACTCATTTCTAAGTCATTTCGATTTTATATCGTTCTAATTTATGCAAATTTCACGTCATTCCAAGTTATGGTCGTGCTTAAGCACTCCTGCTATCGCTGGAGGAAAATTTTATTTCGCGTCACTTATTGCAGACACAATGCCAAACAAAGATTTCTAGCCAACTAACTTTAAATTTGTGTCTCGAGGAAGTAGAAACTCGAACAAAATCATGAAAATAAGGAACAAATATTTCCGAATATTTTTGAATATTTTTCCATTCGAAATTTTAGAGTTGGTCAATATTATGTCAAGAATACGATTAAAATTTCAATGAATCGAAAAGAAATTATACTTAAGACATGGTATACTATTTTAATAAATTTCGTGATTCTGAATTAAGTATAATTGACACAATATTTATTTGTACTTTATTGTACGAAAAAAATTCTTTCAATTTGCAATATGCAATTTATACTAAATCATTTTGATATTTATCACACAAAAAGAATACTTCTAAAAATCGTAGTATAAAATAGTAACAATAGTAATTAGTAATAAAATAGTAATAGAATAAATAGTAATAATAAATTAAATAGTAATTAAATAAAACAGTAATAGTAATAATAGTAATAATATAAAACACTAATAATAAAATAGCAATGCTAAAATAATGAAACTAAAATAATTTATTAATTACTACATTAAAAACGTCACTGTCCAAATGGCACTATGCAATGTCATACCAAAATAAATTAAAAATTAAAAATATCTCAGAATAATTAAAATTAAATTTTTAAATTTACAATTCATCATAAGAAGAACGGAAATATTTAAATAATAAGTCAAAACAATCGAGTCACTGATATTATTCAGTGTATTTAACCTAATCCTGAACAGTAAAATCTATTTCAACCTCCCCCAAGCACACATAGATCTAAACTTACCAAATCAAGATCTCCTAATCTCCCATCCACCACTATACCTGCATAAACTCAAACTAAACTCTAGAAACTCGAATTAACATATACACCCAATATTGCAATCTTAATAACCATTTCAAAAAGAAAATTTTCCAACCAAAAAATCCTACTTCATAACTGAAGGAAACTGCATTTCACTATACCCAACCCTGACACCCCTAGCAGCAATTACACTGATTACGATATTTACCGGCAACCTATACACAGACACTATGCTGTGAAAAGAACAGAAAAACAAAAAATTCTATTTGATAACTGAAGGAAACAGCATTTCACTATACCCAACCCTGACACCCCTAGCAGCAATTACACTGATTACGATATTTACCGCCAACCTATACACAGACACTATGCTGTCACAACTGTACGCTACGTGCCAGCTCCAATCGGGGTACGGTGTCAGCAAAGGTCCACCCAAACCTCGGACACTCGTGACCAGAGACAAGCTGATGGGTACACCATCCAACCACTGAGGACTGGTCACGAACACACGGCCGTATCTATCGATATCCACGTCCTGGGTGAACGCGTTTCCCAGCGTCTGGTTCCTCCCTGTCAGGTATACGTTAGGCCAGGTCCAGTCCAGGTATTTCCATTGAAATGCCACTTCTAGTCCTCCGTGAACGCAATGAAGCAAGGCGAAGGTCAGGATGAAACTCGGAAGACGCGCCATCATGAATTGCACTGGTGACACGAGCCCTCGTCGTGGAACATGAACAACATATGGATCCAGGAGAATTCGCTGGCTCGTGGGATCGTTTCGATCGGGCTCGCGATCCAATGTACACTGCTTCTCGGAGCAGCGCAGACATATTCTTGACAGTGGCATTACTACCATCGGGACCGGTCACTTTCCCCGTTCGGGCGGGCCCGAGAGCGAGTTACGGTTCACCTTGAACTGGATATGTATACTAGAATATGTAATGCATTTTACAATGTGAACTGCCTCGTAATAGTATGATTGGTGACAATAGGAAACGAGTTCGAGATCGGGACTTGTTACTCAGGCAGACTGGTTCACCGATGCAAGGACGTCTGCTTCGATATAGTAAGCACTTGCTATCATATGGAATGAAAGGATTGAGGAGATATTGTAATCCGGCCTATAAAAATCAACATTTTGGAATTTTTTCTAAGGAAACCGTGATGTACATTGAGATGTAGTCCTCATAATCGAATAAACTTATTCTCAGAGAATATTTATGATTTTTTTTACACGAAATTAATTAAAATTGTGGAAATTATATAGGGTTAGGTTAAGCATGTTTTTAAAAACGGGTTCGGATAGCTGACGTGATTCTGGACTATCTGGCTATTGGAAACGAGAGAACTAAAGAGTATCTTAATTAGTATGAATACGAGTGTAGCATGAATTACCAAAAGAATGAAATTTTGGAAATTATAAAAATGGCAGCATTTTGAAGTTTAAATATCGATTTTCCTTGTGCTTTTTGTCATTTGGGTGGTAAACAAAAATAGAAGAAAACGTCGGATTTTGAAATTCGTGGTTTAGGTGATAGAGGTATATCCAGTGAAGATCTCCCCAAAATTTCGAGTCAATCGGTCAACTAAATCGCGAGATATTCCATCAGCCAGTTCTAAAAGTATGGTTTTGAGAAAAATTGCGTTTGAAGTTTTCGTTATCCATTGTACAATGGTCGTATGTTGCACTTTAAACATCCATAACTTCGCTAATTTTACAAATTAAAGCAAATGTTTCTTACACAGACATTTTCGAAAGCCTATACTGTAAGAAAATGTAAAAAAAAATTTGATTTTTTTAAGCTGGATTACAAAAATACCTCCTTAAGTTGAAAAGAAATTTTCTTGAACATAGTGATTTAATAACTGGTGCTATTAGGTGAGTGATTTAAGTTGTTTTCTTGTTGCTCTATATTCTATTACTATTACTTTTATTTTAGCTACTTTACTATTATTTTTTATTACATTTATAATATTTATATTCGTTGTTTTGTTAATTATATTTTTATTATAGTTCCTTATTATTATTTTTAACAATTTATTTTTAGTTCATTTTCACAATAGATACTTAATTGTAATAGTGTTGTTTATGAATATCAAAAATTTTTTAAAGGATATTGACTCGATTATTGGTACTGCTCATTTATTAAATATTGACTCGATTATTGGTACTGCTCATTTATTATTTTATTATTATTATTTTAACTATCTTATTAAAATGTCTTTTTGAAAGCATGGTATAGTTATAATCGTACTGTACACGAATAATAAAAATATTTTTCGTCAATTACACGGTGATTATGGCAGATTTTAGATATATCTTCATTAGAGAAATTTTTTGGGGCAAAAGAAATATGTTTCTCATTTACAGAAAAAGAGAATATTCCCTTTAAATTTATTATAATTTAAATATAATACATGGGAAATAAATGCTGCGTCATTTCATTCGATCCCATAATTCATCTTTAATCATAATATATATCAATTATATTATATTTTTATTATTTCTACTATAATGTGGTCAATGAAATATTTCATACTTAAATTTAAATAAATTTGATAGAAAATCCCTTAAAAAATAAAATATACCAAAAATGGCACACATTAAACTTTTATAAACGGTTATAAAATATACGCAGACGTTCAATAAATATCCAGTCTACTCAAATGTATACCAATAACATTCATAAAGAAATAAATTAATCATCCTCGACAAGCCAATAATTTACAGTACTATAAAGGTATTCATAATTCACGATTCAGCGAATCGACAAGAACGATAATTCGCATTTACAAGTCGCCAAGCCGGTAATTTATATTCATGATTCATCAGATTACGAGAAATTGTTCGAACCTCTTCGCACTATCCACTGCAAAAATCGTAAACTAACGAACTGCATAATCAGCTAATTTCTGAGAATTTCCCGGCTCGGGAGCCAACTCTTTCCGCGATTTAATAAAAACGATTTAATTGCCGCGGTGAAATATTCATTTTATTACATTCGATAGTACACGCTGCACTCGTGGTTTTTCTCTACTTTCCAATGAATACGAACACGGGCTATCAGAAGCGTCGGCAGCGTGCGCGTCGGGACGTCAATAACGAATGCTCACCGAATGTGGTCATGAACGCATTAGCTACTGCGTGATCCGAAACTGGATCAGATATTTGGAAGCGGTACACGCCCACCTGAAATAGAGCTTGCACTATTTTCATGTAAATTTTCGGCTACGATAAATTTTCCAACGCGTTATTAAAAACGTTCGCGCTTTGGGCTTCGATGTCTCTGTTAGGGGATTTTTACTGGAATCCGAAACCTCCTGGCAGCTTCTCATCGACGTTATTGTTAACACTAGGTTTTCGGACGCTATATGTATACCTATTTCTACATATCGACACCTGTCAAATTGGTAAGCGAAGGAAGCCACGTGTCTTTTTTCTCAACGATTAGTTTAATTTTAAAACAATTACAATATTAACAGTCTTAATATAGGTTACCTTAATATAGGTAAAATCTGTTACCATCGTATAATTGGAGCATCCTATCCGTCAAATTGACGGGTTCCGTAAATCTAGTGTTAACTCTTTGTAAAGGAAAAGTAAAAATCGCGATGCACACGATACATAATAATGCAAAATTTGCTATAAATAATATTATATCCACATACTATAATAAAAAATTGACAAATTTATGTGAAATTAAATGAGACTCACCATTTGCAAAGGAAAAGTAAAAATCGCGATGCACACGATACATAATAATGCAAAATTTGCTATAAATAATATTATTATATCCACATACTATAATAAAAAATTGATAAATTTATGTGAGATTAAATGAGACTAACTCTTTGTAAAGGAAAAGTAAAAATCGCGATGCACACGATATATAATAATGCAAAATTTGCTATAAATAATATTATTACATCCACATACTATAATAAAAAATTGATAAATTTATGTGAGATTAAATGACATTAATCATAAAAAAAATATGTAAATATGTGTGAATAATAATTTACCGAAAATGAGGAACCTAGGAAAATAGTTGAAATAAAGAATATCAGCAATAATGATGAAAATAATAAAATTATTTTTCACCATGATATACATAGTGATCGATATGGCAAATTAAAATATTGTAGATCATTTTGAAACCTGAAACTACGAGAATAATATTACATATTTGAAACAAGATACAAATACTAAAAACATCTGTGAACTCGTGAAATCTGATAAATGCAGAAAATTTTGAAAAATTGAATATACGTTGGAAAATATACAGACTTTATTTACAGATCTGATTTATAAATGTTATTTAAACGTGGATCTCCTCGTGTCGCAAAATTTATATTTATAAATGTGAGAAAAATTGCAAATGAATAAAAGAATACTAAAATTATGATTATAGTGATCCAATGTTGCAAGTATGAACATAGATGACTACAGAATTAATATTGTTAAGAGCAGCAATGCGAGCAGCTATTGAAATTTATTACTTTGAGTGGTTTGATGATTACTATGCTAATCACCAACTCAGTCGCAATTATTTGGAATATTAAATGCAAATGCACGGTATGGCAAGAATCAAGTTGCAATTATAGATATATTCGTTACAGACAAAATGAAACGACGAAATCAGCTTTGTGGGAATGGTAATATTTATGTGGAGCGAGAGAAGAGGCTTTGGTCGAAGGATAGTTGCACGAATGAAGGATACTTGACCCAAAGTGTTAGAATATACAGTAACTCTCTATGGAGAATTACTCGTGCAGCCGACTCAAAGTTCGTAATTGTGTCTAAAGTTTGCACAAAAAATTAAATTATATATTAAGCACCTCCACGGAAAAATTTTATATAATAAAAAGAGGAGTTGCACTGAAATGGAAGAATGGCGAATAAAATCATCTGACCAAAAGTTAAATTAAAAGGAAAAATTAGAATTTGGTTCCAAGCCAAAAATTGAAATTTAAAATCGAAATCGAAATTAGGACTTCAGAATTAAAAGCCATAAGACTTACTTACAGGGAAGATACAGAGAGGACATATTATAATATACCTTAATATTATATTTTTAATATTATAATATAATATGTCACAATATATTATATACTTGTAATTAAATTCATATTAATTTCTCAAAATATACACATTTCATTCGTCTCATCTACTGATCCACCATCGATTACCAAAATAAAAATTAAAAAATGTAAAAATCCAAGAAGTATACCTAACTATGTACCACCCAAATTCCCCATAAAAATATATGAAATGGAAGAATGACGAAATTGAAATTATCATCTGACCAAAAGTTAAATTAAAAGGTAAATTTAGAATTTTGTTGGAAGCCAAAAATTGAAATTTAAAACCGAAATCAAAATTAGGACTTCAGAATTAAAAGCCATAAGACTTACTTACGTGAAAGCTATAGAGAAGACATATTATAATATACTTTAATATTATATTTGTAATATTAAACTATAATATGTCACAATATATTATATACTTGTAATTAAATTCATACTAATTTCTCAAAATATACACATTTTGTTCGTCTCATTTACTAATCCACCATCGATTACCAGAATAAAAATTAAAAAATGTAAAAATCCAAGAACTATACCTAACTATGCACCACCTAAACCTCCCACAAAAATATAGGAATATATAACAAAATATAATTAACAATAAATATTTGAGCCAATTTTCTCATGAAAGGTACGACATATCTGAATTGCATTGCATGAGTCGTATCATGCTACTAATCACTTAATTCACCTTTATCCACTAT